TTTAAAAAAAAAAAAAAAAAAAAAAAAAAAAAAAAACAGAAAAAAAATGCTATTACAGTAAATATTAATATACTTACCTCCTTTTTCACCATGAAAATTAATTATCTCCTCTTTTTCAATGAAGAATCATTGCTAGCTAAGCAGGCAGTTCTGAGGAGAAGGATCACTTCTTGCAGATCCCTGGAACACAGTCTGCTTTTTGTCTGTCATTTCTGGCACTCTGTCTTCTTTTCATCTTATACCTGTCCATATCAGTGCTTTTCCTTTTCTCATTTGTCTGCAATTTTATCTCTTTTATCTCACAAGAATCTACAGACTTTCTAATGGCTTTTTTTTTTTTTTTCCTACACACAAACATTGCAAAATCTGAATGGTTCAGATTTTGAACCATGGTTGTGCACTTGTGAGTATCATCCATGAGCCTTAGTACACAGTCCTAGGGAGAGAGTTACAGTCCTTTTAAACAGTTTCTGGATGTGAGGAAATCGTTAGTTACAATTGGCTACCATTAAAACTTATAAGTTGTACATTAGTGACCAGTGTTTTTACTCTTAGCTCATAAGAAAATCTTACCCTTTTCCTTACTAGTTTTGCAGACGATTTTCCTTTTTTTCCTTTAGATGTTAAAATTGCATTTTCTTGAAGTTTTCAATCCACGTATCATCATTTGGATCTAGGCCAGTCTGAAGTAACATTGCAAAACACTGTGTTAAATTCTTCACTGACATCCACCCAAAATAAGAATCTCGCACCTTCTCCAGGAAAATGTACTATGCTGAGTTCATAAAAGAAAGCTATTCAACAGAATACACAATTTCAAAATCCATATAATTCTGAATAATGCATGGAACATCTTTGTCAGTAATAAGGCTTTCAAATTAAGTTTTACTCTCAACTGATTTTCTTTCTGTACCTTTTCATTTCTATGTAGGACTCAAACTGTGAAATAAGCATTCACATTCTTACTAGTAGAGACACATAACAGTAGTCCCACCACTAATCAACTTACTCATGCTAACCAAAAATGTAACAATATAAAACCATATTCTCAAGAGCTTCTTTTGCTGCTGTAGCTTGGCCTGCTAAGGGAACCTTCGAGTAAGCTGTAATTTAAACATACTGGTGCTTCAAAATACCTGTACTGTCAAACACCACATTGCAGAGCCAATGAAATTTTTATATAACCCATGCCTTTATATAACTCAGGACTCACTTTTTTTTTTTTTTTTTTTTTTTTTTTTTTTTTGGTGTACTTTAGTCTTAAGTAAATGGCAGAGTATTACAAAGAACAGAAACAGTTAAAGGAACAAATAACAAAAGGCATGTATTGTGCTATAAAATGTTGAATAAGGATGAATTTAACTAAGCATCAACAAAGGGCAGTTAAGTGAGACTATGACACTCTGAATGTAAGGGTCCAATCTATTCTAGTTACAGAAAACAGAAATAGAAAGGATGGAGTTTAAATAGGGAGCTGAAGAAGTCTTATTTTTAATCTCTCTTAAAAAGTCAAAAGAGACGCAACTGCTGCTACATTTGAGACAGACAGGCCTCCTTAACTCATGGAAATAATTATTACTTGTTCCTCCTATGCTTGGAACTGATTAAAGGTTTAATTCTCACCAATTCAGTAAACTTCTACATCACTAACTTTCCAGTTCATTAATAGATTAGACATGGAACAGAAATTTCAGTTCAATTATTTAGAATTAATCTGTACACATCTGGACAGTTGAGAATGAAAAGGGTCATCCTGCTTTTTAGTGACATTTGTACTTGTCAAAGCTGTCATCCAAAGTGTCACTTCAGATGTAAACATGGTCTCTTAATGTCTGCTACAAATTAGAACTTTCTCTGTATTTAAAGCAAGATGTTTTTTTCAGTATCAGGCCTCATCTGGTTTCCTCATCTGTAGGCTCACCCTGTCAGCAGGAGGAAAGAGTGCAGGATGGTAAAAAGAGAAGAGAAACCATAAGATGGTTTGGTTGCTGAAATGCAAGACAATCCCAGGGTCCTGTTTTGCAATGATTTCTTTGTGTGTGCGTGTATGTGGAAATGTGCTGCAAGTCAATTGCTTTTGTTGTTGCTTCCTCTTCTTGTTCGTACAAAAATATCTGAGTAAATTTCAGTTTAACATAAATTCCCAAAACAATAAATCACAGCACAGTCTGTGAAGTTTTGAAGACCTATTCCTTAATAAAAGGCAAATAAAATAATGCTTTATGCACAAAGTCTTTAGCATAACTTCTGTCAATTCCATGGAATGTGGTCCTTTTTAAATATTCTTTTACAGATCAACATTCATAAGAAAACGCCGTATATCCATCTTCTGGTGAAAATTGGACATTTTCACTTAGGAATGTCTGTATTGTTCTAATGAGAAGGATAATTAGTGCCACTGATTATTTTAATTATCTTCCTCCTTCCACAGAAGCAGAATTTAAATTTATATCTTGAGAATGCACACTAGCTATCTCACAGAAAAAGGAATCCAAAGTGACTGATTAGATTCACAGCAAGCAGTTCCAAGGACTCTAATAAGCAAGAAGATACACTTTCAGAGAGGTTTTCTAAATGTTGTTTTGCAAGCTTGCGTCATACTGAATACATCTTTTTCTCACACAGAAGAGCAGCACGCAAATTGATGTCTTCCAATGTCCAGGCTCATGGCCGTGTGTGTGTCCTAATACCTAATGGTCTGATAATATCTGGTAGCTCCTGATAATTACATACATACATCACACAAGCTGCTATTTTCCTGTGATTTACTTCTCAAATGATACTTTTTCTCCCTGTCTACATTCTGCTGATCTATCTTCATTATAAGTTGACAAGGGCGACAGCGGGTTACGTCACAACGGTGTCTGTAGCCTCCACACAAGAAAATATGCACTCTATGTGATGATCCCATGGAGAAACCACTTTGTAAATTTTTATTTTCCTATCTGCTACTTAAGAAAAGGCAATTAAGCCACTGCCAATCTGAGTATCTGAGTCTGTTGGAAAGGAATGAGGGTGAAAACGGTCAGTTTAAAGAACGTGTGCCTATTATGTGCATGTTCTGTTTCTGTTCTGGACGAAGCAGCACCGACAGCGGTACTCCCGGAACGGCCCGCGCCGCTGCGCGGCGCCTCTCCCGCCAGCACACGCAGCACAGGGGCGGTGGCGCGGAGCTGTTGCCATGGTTACCACCCGTTCGCTCGCCCGACCGCGCGGGGGGGCTCGGAAGTCTCGCGAGCTTTGGCGCGGGAAGAAGCCGCGGCGGGGGCGGGTCAGGGGTGGTTTTGAGGTGCTGTTCGGGCTGCCTGGGGGCACCGGGGGTGGCGCGGAATTAGGGAGAAGTGGGGCTCCCTGGGAGCCGATCTGAGGGGTGGGGGGGCGACGCTGCTGTGTGGCTGGCGGGCGGGAAACCAGGAGAAATGAGTTTAGTTTACGATTGGGAACGAAGCGGTCTGTTGAAACACCGGCCTTCTGTCTCAAGTCTGCAAGCTTAAACGTCTTAGCGACTGTTCTCAGCGTTATGGTCGTGTGCGTTGCCGCTTGGCTTTCTGTTTTTATTCCGTTTAAAAATTATATCTCACTGTTTCGGCGTTGCTTGGCTTGTTGATGGCGCGTTTTTACTGAGCGTGCGTGGAGAGTGCAGCAAACAAACGGCGTTGTGTGTGCGCGTCATCTTACAGCACACGGGGTGACCTGAAAGGAAAACATGAAACTCACGGAGTGGGATTACGTTTGAAGCTGCTTGTTTAGCAATGAGTTCCTGCCCCCTCAGGGCTGTGCTGTTCCATTTTGCCCAGGTAGACAAAGCAGTAGGCTGGTTTATTTTTCATGCCATGTCCATACAACAGTCAAAGTCTTAATGGATGTAAGCCAGAATTTGAGGTTGGGATGTGTGTAACACTTCAGATACGCAGCCCTGAAAATTACAAGGCTAAACAGCATGCCTGAGCAATTCTTACTGGGCTCTGACATCACTACCTGTCTTTCTTTGTTTGTTTTGAGGGTTTTTTTTTTTTTTTTTTTTGTTTGTTTTTTTTTTTGTTTTTTGTGAACAACAGGTTTGAAGTCACTAGAGCAGTCCTTACACTTTTTTTCAGCTGAAGCAGAATGAATGACATGTTCACGTTAATTATAAGGAAGGTTACGTTCGTGTGGTTCTCTGTGTTTGTAATTTTAGCTCTTCCTGTTTTTGAAATGAACGATTATTTTCATGGTGGTAGACAGCACAGTGCTAGATGGATGCAGGGAGAGAGAGAGAGAGAAGGAGCTACTGAGAAAAGGTTCTTACTGCAGCTATTTCAGTCTTACAAATGATCTTGTAAGACAGCTGTGTTTTAGACTGTGATCCCTTGAAAGCTAAAGCTGTGAGGGGAACCTTATTACAGGGTCAGAGTGTACAGCCACCTTTCAATTGCATGTGTATGCATTGTTTATTTATTTATTTAAATTTCTTCATATTTTTAAACAGGTTACCTTGAAGAAAATTCTACGGTGCAGTTTTATGGTGTCCAAGCAGCTCATCTATTGATACTTAGTAAATCTGTAGTAAAACATCATCTGAGCTTGCCATCATCTGGATCCAGAGGTTACTTTCAAGAAAATGTGGACTGCCAGAAGTCTCTGTACTGCACCAATACAATTACTTGAGTTGAAAGAAGGCAGATTGTGCAGTTCCATTCTTCTGAAAAACCAGCAGTTCTGGACTGGAATTCTAAACTATTGTACCCTAAGAGCGCCATATGGCAGAGCTAAATGCCAGGTAAGTATTTATTTCCATAGTGTTCTAGGTAGATGTGATAAGCATCAATATACGATGTTGGTTTCTCTTTTTTAATAACCTATTTGCCTAAGTGTTTTTTCTAATCACGAGTATCTTTTGATGCCAGTAAGAGGCATCTCTATGATACGAAGATGCCTTTCATAAGTAAAGGTGAAGCTGCAGGCGGCAAGAAGTTTCAGGAGAGCCAGTGTTTTAATATGATTTTTCTGTGTGTGTGTGTGTGTGTCCTGTAGTTCTAAGCAGAGAAGGAGAAAATTTAACTTGTTTCGAGTTATTCTCTAGGCAGTACAGAATGATAACTGACAGAACTAATAAGTGGTGAAAGTCATTTAGTGAATAATAGGAGCAGAGTTCTCTGGAAAATTGTCTTTACTAATTCAGTATTCTGCAGAGGGCAAAAAACTGTGCTGTCTGTGCTTACCAGATTGGGAAGAGTAGATAAAAATGCATGAATTTGGTTATTAAAGAAATATGTGGATATAAACAGAGTCTATGGGAAGAGACACAAAATTAAGGCTTGTCTTAAGAGTCTTGACCATTCCAAATTGTAATGTTTATCTTTTTCTAGATGTCTAATTAATTTAATCTTTAAAGTATGTATTACAACGTATAGCTTATAAATAGTCAAACTTTCAAATAGTTTAATAAAGGCTAAAGTATTATGGAAAATCCTTTCAGGTGGTTATATGACTATTTATAGGTCTATGTAAGGATTGAAACTGGATCATCACTGTTGTCCCTTTTAACCCAGGCCATCCTATGATTCTATGATAAACAAGCTTTATTTTATTTATTTATTTTTTTTTTTTTTCCCTTATATTTATTCTTTATTTTGCTTTTAAGTGGTAATGTTTGCTTGTAATGTTTTAGGTTTCCAAGATGAATGAAAACCAGTCAGTAATAGATACTGCAGTTGCTATTAGTGCAGAAGGAAGTAAAAGAACTTCTGGAAATAGTCCCATTGGAGAATATGATGGAAAACAACACACATTAGAAGGTATTGAAACTTTTTTCATTATCTTAAGAAGCGAGCTTTTCCTGGCTTTTCTAGACATCTTGTGTTAATGATCAAAATGATCTAAATCATGAACTTGACAGTCTGAAATCATGTGTTTTGTTTAATTTCTTATTTTAAGGGAATTATATGCAACTTCTATGGCTTGTAGGCACTAGTACAGTTTTCCTAAGAATCTTAGTGTCTACTTAGATTATGTATCAATTTTTAAAATTATTATGTTTCTTTTTTTCCATCTGTTCAAACTTATACAGTACTTATTCATTGTTGCTGGATATATGCAAAACTTAGTTTTGCCATTCTCCTGGCAACACTGTAACTCTTAATTAGAACAGTTTGCTGAACTGGCTATCATTTTGTGTGAGCCCATTTTTGGCTGAGAAAACAATCTATTGAGTATTTACTGAATGCTAATGTCATGTGGTGCTAGCGAGCACTTTTTTTCCCTTTTTATATAAATGAAAAAGTATTGAACGTGTGAGTGGTGATTTTTAATTTGGCTGAATTTAAGATTATCATGTCCCTTAGTAGTTACAAATATGACCTTTATTTTAACAGTGCTGCTTAGCTGAATAGTTCTTTCCATACCTTTGCTTGCTTTCTCATTCCTAATAACAAATTTTCAAATGTCCCGATATGCATCATACATAATAACTCAAAGTACTTCTGTGCTTCAGGGTGCTTAGTCATTCTCATTCCATGTATATTTAATTTTTGTTTCAAAAGGCTTTCTAGTCAGTTGCTTAGGGCATTTGCAGCTTTTGTTTAGAAACAGGCTGACAAGGACGTAGTTATGACTGGTTAAGGCACTGAGATCATAAAATGTTTATATAATTAGATTGCTCAGGAAACAAAAGTATGAAAAATTATTTCATGATTATACCAACTAGGAAAACAGTAATCACGAAAAGTTATGTTGTAACATAACACAATTCTTCAGTACAAGCTCCTTATATGGCTTTCCTGAGGTACAGATGATTGAGGTGCAACTGAGTATAGAGATAGATGATTCCCTTCCAAATATTTTTCTCATCACCAATTAATTCTTTTTGCAGATGTGAGAATCCTTTAAAAAACAAATCCATGTGGTTATACTTATTCCTGAATGCTTTTGCATTACCTGTGGAGCTGGGAGTTCAAGCAGCCCCAGTGTCCAAAATTCTTATATTTATCTGCTCTTACATTATTTTTTTTTCTTGTAGGCAATAGAACTATGCCTATCCCTTTAGCCAGTTAAAATGTTTTGAAATATGTCATTCATGTAAGATGAAAATATTTTTGGACAGTAGTAGCAAGAATACTTGCTTTGTCCAGTGCAAGTAATATTTCTACAGTGAATACACCATCCAGAGCTATGCTGAAATGCATTTGCGCATCTTGTAAGTTGCACTGAATTATTCTTATTGGCTGTTATTCTTAACAGCTTAGCCATATGATAATTTTTTAGTTAATATCTCGCAAAGAGCAAGAACTTCTGTTAAACAATCAAAGAATATTCTGAAGTCTTGCATGTCATACCACTTTTAAGACAAGATTTCTGCTATTTACCCAGGTGAAGAAATGGTCTATGTTGAGATGTGACAGTGTTCTCATTTGTGGTGCTCTGTTAGAAACTGGCAGGGAATAGTCATATTATACACTTGATTACATTTCTCCATATGTCTCTTGAGAATTGTTATAACCCTGCTGTTCCTTTTGATCAAAGAGCAGTGATTCACCAGATCATAAAAGGAAAAGAATGTTTGAATCATACTGTCTTTCAAATGTGCCATTCTAACTTGCGAATCAAGTACTGCCATGAAAAATTTGTAAGAATCAAAACAAATGAGACAGTTTATATTCATACAAAGGTGGGTATGTTGGTTTCCCTTCTCTGATTTTACAGGACATTCATCTAGTGCTGTTTCATCTCTTTCTCTTACAGAATACTTTGCAAGGTGAAACAACGTAGCTTAACTACATCTGTCAAGCAGATAGTCTCTTACAGAACGGTGACTTTTATTCATCTGAGTCATATTTGTAGGATAACTGTTTTCTTACAGGTTTCTTGTTGTGGTTTGATTTGTTTCTGTGTATGCGTACACAACTGTTTTGTGGTGTTCATGCTTGTTAACGGATATGGAAATGTTCCATATGTGAAGGGGGATAAGGCATGGTTAATAAGTTGATAAACTACCTTATCATAGTGTGGTTTAGCAGAATGAATTGTCTTATAAAACAGTAAATGATATGCCCTGATGCCATGAGATCTCTTTTGCAACAGAAGTAGTAATCCTTCCGTTTAGGCAGAGGGACCCATTAATGGTCTGATTTTAAACATGGTATATGTAAAGCAGTAATGCATGTCTTCTTCTCTTGTGGTTTAGAAAGCTGCTGTTTTCCCACTACTTTAATTTCTGAGCTGAAGAGGCAACTTAAATTAAAATCTGTTGCTATATGTATGTGAAGCTTCATCAGTACTGACACTGTATTGTCTCTAAGTGGTTTCTAAAAGAAAAATTTCATCAGCTATGCCACCACAAACCAGAACAATCAGGTGTACTCCTGAGTGTACTGATGTATTCAGTCCCATTCTTACTGATTTGTATCCAGATACAACAATTTTGTATTTTAATTCAGCATGGACAATGTCTGTGTATCTGTGCAATATAATGGAGAATATCTTGCTCTCATTTTGTAGTTGTTTTCAGAAGAGCTAATAGAATATATAGCTTTGTATATATGTGGTTTATTTAAAATAAACCACCTCTATCAATCTGAATTCTGTGCTTTTTTTTTTTTTTCTGTACTTGACACCTTCAGATTGCATTCATGCTTTTATGAGCAAACTTTTGCTTTGTATTTATATTTTGCCTCAGTGTTTTTATATTTTTTAACAGTAATGTGTTTGCCTGTTTCCTTTCTAAATAAGGAATGACTTTATGTAGAAATTTATCTTTTACTAAATACTAGTACTAGTAAGTAAATGAGTTCCAGAGATGAAAGATAAAAATTATTTCCCTAGAGAATTCTACTAGATTCAAGGTTGTATGCATAATGGAAGCATGATGATATTTAGTGTTTCAGCATCCGTTGACACTTCTAAGACACTACTTCTGTATTTCTTTGATGAGATGGATGAAAATGTGCAGATATGTTGTATATAGAAACATACTTTTATGTCGTGATTGAAGAAGGAATTTGTGCTAAGGAGCGTTTTAGAATGATTGCTCTCAGTTTTGGAGATGCTAAACTCAAGCAGCTAATTGATATATTGGTTAATCAAAAGTGCTTACTACTCTAAAGTAAACAGTTTTTTAACATAGATATTATATATATGTTATGTATTCTTTCCCAAAAACACAGTTGTAAGTTGTAAGACAAAAGTAACTGATCCTCTTCCTGACTGCATAACTTTATTTCCACAGGAAAAATGAAACATGTCAATCTGTCATTTGCATCGTGTGGGTTTCTGGGTATTTACCACTTGGGGGCAGCAGCTGCTCTTTACAGACATGGTAAGAAGTTACTGAAAGTTGTGAAAGACTTTGCAGGAGCTTCTGCGGGATCCCTGGCTGCCACTGTCTTATTAGCAGTACCAGAAAACATAGAGGTAAATTTATAAACTCATAGGTGTAGGACATAATCATCTTCAAAGATTATTTTAAAATATTTAAGTTTAAAAACTTTTGATTTTTAGAGGTAATGATAGAGGTATCCTTAATTTTTGACCTTCACCTTGCTTTTTGTAAAGGAATAGGACTCATGTATATGTTTTCATCAGCAAAATCTGTGAAGCGTGGACAAAAAAACAAGTATTTATGCAAATGATGGTGCTCAGTTTATGGTATAAAATTACGTGGACTGTGTATTTAAGCTGTGCAATTACAAACTTCGTGTCTGAATGTTGAGTTACATGCAACCTGGTGTGTCAAAATATATCTGTGTTTTACTTATTCATTGTACATTACGGAGTTGATCATTTTTTTTCTTGTCTGTAGGCAGACTGTTAAGCAGATGTGTAGCACTGTTCCTTTGTGGAAGGATATGTAAATGATGAATGACTGTCCTTATAGCCACTGCACCACACACAGGCTCTAATTTTCACAGGCTCCTTACCGTTTGTTCTTGATTAAACAACTTCAGATAGGACATGCTTTAGACTCAGTACAATTTAGAACTTAATAGCAATAGCTGCACTGTATGCCAGGGGAGAATTAACCCTCACAAACTTTTATTCTAGCATGTCACGTAGTTGTTAGTCCTGCTGTAAGGCCTTTGATACAGTCTCCCACAACATTCTTGCCACTAAATTGAAGGGGTATGTTTGATGGTTGGATTGTTAAATGGATAAAGAATTGATTAAATAGATGCATCCAGACAGTTAAACAGTTAAGTGTCCAAATGGAAAACAGTAAATGAGTGCTGTCCCTTATGGGTCTGTATTGGGACCACTTCTTCTTGACATCTTTATCAGTGTCATAGATGGTGGGATTAAGAGCCCAGTTAGCAAGTTTGACACTGAGACGAAGTGGTGTAGTTGTTACATAGAGACAAGGGGCTGATGGAGTGCATCTTTTAGAGAAGGACATTGTGACACTGGTGGATGAAGAAGTTGACATGAGCCAGTATGTGTGCATGCAGCCCTGAAAACCAGGTGTATTTCAGGCACACATAAAAAGAAGTGTGGCCAGGAGGGAGATGATTTAGTCTCCCGCTCTCATGAGACCCCACCTGGAGTACTGTATCCAGATCTGGGATCCCCAGTACAAGAGAGATTGGGACCAGTTAGAACAGATTCAGAGGAGGGCTGCAGTAAATATCACTATATCTAGAACACCCTGCTGTGAAGAAAGGCTGAGAGAGTTGAAGTTGTTCAGTCTGGAAAAAAAAGAAGGTTCCAGAGAGACCTCATTACAGCCTTTCTGTGCTTAAGGATGGCTTATAAGGAAGACAAAGAAAACTTTTTATCAAGGCCTGTAGTGACAGAGCAAGAGGATGCAGTAGTAAGTTAAAAGGGAATAGATTTAGAGTGGATGAAAGAAAGAAAATCTTCGCTATGAGGTTGATGAGCCTTTCTGAGAAAACACTGTTTTCTTTTTCTAGTTTTGTTTTGCTTGTTTTAAAGCTTAGTTTTTGCTCAGTTTAAGGCTGCTTTTCCTGATGTGCCCTTAATGGCTTTCCTTTAATGTACTTAGAGGAGTAGGCCTTGCTGAAATGTTAGTAGTCCTTTTAATATTTTTAATTATCATAAACGACATTTTTGAGAATGAGGGAGAAGACTGTTAGATAACTTTTTTTTTTTTTTTTTTTTTCCCCCTAAGTTCCCTTACGGTTCAGTCTAACGAACATTAGGTAAATTTCTCCAGCCCACTCTGTAAATAGTTCAACATCTTTTGATTTGAATAGTGTCAGCCCAGATCACATGTCGCTACTGAACTCTTTGTTTTGCTATGATACAAGCATAACTTGCAGTTGGCCGTACTTCTGTTTTTTTTCTGTCTCTTAATAGCCAGCTCTTCTCTGGCTTCTTTTTACCTCCACCCCTGCAAATGGTTTCTTTATATGACTCAATATTAGCAAAATTCCATTCTGTTGTCAAGATAACACTGTATGTTACTTGTTCAGGTGTAGTCTGTCGTTTCTAATTACTAGTTCAGTTTCAGTTTCGCTTGGTGTAATACTTACCTCTGCCCCTGATTTCTTGTATGGTATATGGTAAGCACAGCAGCTATTTTTTTTTTATTTTTATTTTTTTTTTTTAAGCCCAAGAAAAATGATTCAACATAAAATATGTTTTTAAGTCAAAATACGAGAGGAGTTTTTGATTCTGGGAATTAAGCTTATATCATGTTGGATTTTGCCCTGACAGTATCAATTTAGCATAAACTGAAGAATGTGTCATGAACTTTTTACCCCTTCTCATTTTCTTAATAACTTTTAAGTCACTCTATTACATTGCTTAACTGTAAATTGAGAACTCTCTGGGAGTTAGTCAGAAATATTTCCTAATTCTTAGGGCATGTAAATAAGGACAGTGTTGTGTAGTGAATAGAAAATACTTTATATTTTATTTTTATTGAAATTTCTACAAAATGTTCATATCTAGATAATTATTACATTAATGAACAGCATTTGTAATTGTTGAAATATCCACAAATATAACTCTGACATCAGGTAGATTTTCTTTTCTTTTTTTTGGAATGATGGCTGTGTTAGATAAGTTATAACTAGGACTTGCTCAATCTTCTGTTCTCAAACCTCTAATACAAACTGTTATGAACTAGAAGAGAATGTAATTTTGAAGATTTCTCGTCTTGACTATTGTTAAGATGTAACAGCTTGCAAATGCATTTCTGTAATATCTTGGATTTTCGTCACTGTTGAAAAGGCATGGGACTTCAGAGTAGTAAGGACAGATTTTCATACATATGATGGCTTATAGAATTACGTATGAGTACCTATTTCTTTCAGTAGTATGTGATCATGTTAGATGTCAAGTTTACTTAAATCAATAGAAGTAGTTACCATTTCTAAACATGTTCTCAGTCACTATTTGAAATTTAGATGCCCTGTTTAAAGCTTCTGACACTAGAAATTATAAATAATTCATAGTTTCAAGGAGATGTGCCTTTTGACAGCAAGGACTGAGAGTCTAGGAATATGATCTGTTCTTAGCATTTAGATGGAAAGTAGTTTTGTGTTATTCACTTAGATTTGCTGTTGTCCAACTCCTTTTTACTCTTATTTCCCTGTCACTTCAGTTACTTTATTAAGGCACTTCAGTTACTTTATTAATTAAATTTATTAATTAATAATCCTAATTGAGATGCTTCTATAATCTGTAGCAGTTTGGGGATTTCTTCTGTCCCCTTAGAGAGAGGCCAAGGTGTTGAAGGTTTGAATCACTGTCTGAATATGCTTCTTTCTTGTGGATTTACAACAGAAGCCTTGGAATAAACTGAAGGCCTGTGGCATGTAACTGGTTTTATATATTTGAATTGGATTCAATGGTGAATGAAATGCTGCCTAGACTAGAAGTGAAAATTTAACCTATGTGTAATGAATTAGTGGCCATTGCTGTAAGAGATGTGGAAGTCTTAATTTTTGCTAGTATTTTTGATAGATTTACTAGTAGAGCATTTAGAAAGTGGGTGCAAGATCTTAATTTCTGCATTTTATGGGTTTATGAGTTATGGTGCATGCTTCAAGCTATTTGTTTCACAGTAACTAAAACTAAGCATTTAAGCTTATGTAAGAGAGCTTTTCTGGCTGTAGAATCTACAGCCCGGTTTTCTGGTCTTTTTTTGTTCATTTGTCTTCCGTCAGTTGTAGTAAACATATATTTCATTCATTAAATGTATGTCAATAATTTTTGTTTTATATCAAGGAGAAATTATGATGTTTTTAATGCTTACAGCTATCTTAAGATACTTGTGTCTGGTTTTAATACAAAAGTAGTCTTTAACTCCTTTTACTTTCTTAGTGTCTACCTACTTTAAAAAGTGCTTGGAATACAAATCTTTATTTCTGGTAATGGTATGATCCAGAGAACTGTTTATTGAGCAATAGTAATACCTAGAAAAGTAGCCTTGAACTTTTCTTGTCTCACAGAATAGTATGTTTGGGAGATTTGGCTTTTTGTTTTTTTTTTTTTTTTTTTTCCATTTAAATATATTTGTTATTAATGAATTAGAGATCTTGTTACATATGTTCTCTTACAAATTAGTTTGTGTGACAGGATCAGCAGTTTATTAAATATATCTTGATGCAAACCACTCACACGTGGGAAAATATCTTAGTTTGGCCTTGTAGGTTGTTCTTGATTAAAGTGTTAGCTGTTAGTATGGTCTAGATACCACAGTTGAACTTACTTTCTATAATGAAAACTATGATGAAAGCATCTTTAATGGTGAATATTTTAATTTTCAGAAATGTCAGCAGTTTACCTATGAATTTGCGGAAGAAGTCAGAAAATTGGACTTTGGTGCAGTAACTCCTGGTTACGATTTTATGAAAAGACTTAGGTACCAATCTCAAAGCATCTATTAAATCATTTCTGTGTGATGCTCTCTAAATAAAAATGGAGAGTAAAACGTATGGTTTTTTTCATACTGTGGAGAGCTTTATCCCTCAGTGTAGTTGTAAGATTTTTACGTGTGAATAATACTCAGTGCTTTCTTTATTCTAGGGAAGGCATAGAATCTATTCTTCCTTCTAATGCTCATGAGATAGCTGAGAATCGGCTCTATGTGTCCGTTACTAATGTGAGAAATGGGAAAAATTACTTGTTTTCAAATTTTGCCTCCAGGGAGGATCTCATTAAGGTAATGATTTTGCATAGCTTTAAGTAAAAGTATATGACTTTCTTCAGTGCATAAGAGTGTTATTATTAGGTGTATAATAAATATTTTAATCAAATAGTCACTGATATTACAGTGCTGCTATTTAGGTAAACAACAAGCAGAATTTGATTCTGGAGATTTTGCTAAAATTTAATCTGTGTCTTTCATTTGTTTCAGAAGTATTACATTGTAAGCAAGGCCTTTTAAAAAATAACAGGATAACTGTTAATTACCATTTAATGGTTGGCTGTTTTGTAGGGGAGAATAATATAAATAATCCTCAAGTTCTATAACAATTCTGTGAATCTTTTCGTATCTCTTGATTCCCTGATATTAAGTTCAATCACAAGAGGGAGTGAACAAAAGGAATTCCTGTCTTGAAAATAAATCCCAGTACTTTGTGGGCAATAGACATAATGCCTTATTAAGTATCACACATAAACTATATTTTAACCATTATAGCATATCTTTTATGGCCCATCTCTTCTCTTTTGAATGCTGTTTTAAAAATCTAGATCAGGATTGTAAACATAAATGGGTTTATGAAATGGTAGGAGGAATTCATGTGCATGTAAAGGAAATGTTCTTTCTAATAATTGGTTGTATTGTAGCGCAGGATATAGCAGGAAAAAAAAAAGGAGGAAATATAATAAGTGGGAAGTTTTAAGTAAGAATTCCTTTTTTTAACATTTGTCTGGATGCTTTGAGGGTTGGGTTAGAGGGGGACATTATTTTACTGTTTTGTCAGGGAAAGGGCCTGTTTCTAAGGAAATGTTTCAATTTTTCAAAAGTAGAAGACAAAACCTTTATGTTTAAGCTCAGATAAATACGTGGTTCTTTAGGTCACTAGGAATAGAAATAGGCAAGTGTGAGGTAAAGCCTGAATTCAAATTTGTATGGAACGAAAAAATGTTTAACACTGAAAGTAGCTTAATTTGTTGTAAAAATGAATACAATTCTAGAGAGACAAAAAAAAACAAACAAACAAACAACAAAAAAAAAAACAACAAAAAAAAACTTGGATGTTTTTTCCATAATCTCTATGAATTATTTGCTTGTTTGGACCTGATGGCCTTTTGCCATTTTGCTGCTTGCTTTTCTCATTCATCCTCATGCATGTGGGCCAGATTTACCTGTACAGAAATATTTGACACATCTGACATACCTGAAATATCTAGCTATATATAGATTCCATATCCAGGTAGATCATTGGGTACACAAACATATACATAGATGCACATGCACAGAGTCATAGATATTGTTAGGAATGGATAGAAAGGTATATGAATGTGCATACCATATTTCTGTACGTAGCAGAAGAGGAGTCATTGCCTAAAATAAATCTGAGAACTGCTCTAGACAGCAGCCTGTAGAAGAACAAGTAGCAATTTGTTAATACCTTAATATAATGTATTGAACTAATGAAAGATGTGCATAAATGAATTTCCAGACTATTTATAATGTTCTGGATACGTGCAGGAGAATATTTATTGGTTCAGAGTTGCCTTTTCTTCACTGTTCTTCTCCAGTTCTTCTTCTTTCTTTTATCTAGGTCCTGCTAGCAAGTAGTTTTATACCAGTATATGCTGGAATGAAGCCAGTCGAGTATAAAGGAGAGGTAAAGTTTCACTGTGTTTAACTATTATTTTTTTCCAATAACATCCTTCATTTATGATATAATTGCCTGATCTCAGAGATTGTCAAGTGGGAATTGCAGTTTAGTTCCAATAACTTTTTTTTCCTATATAAATATAATAACATTTCAAGAATAATTTTGTTTTCGTTTGTAATTATTAGAACAACAAAAAAAAATCTTTCTAAAAAGTGTTACTACTTCCTTTTCATTCATCATACATGTCCAAATTCTGCATTTATCGTGTCTGTCATCCACACACACACACACGCACACACAAAAACACAAAAACAACACTAGTCATTCTAACATTCATATCTAACAGTTATATTTCTGTTTAGGGACTTTGAGTTCCTTTCTGATGTCAGAAAACTTCTCAGTTTTAGAGCTTAAGGGGCACACATGGATGTTTGTCATTCATTCTGATACTACTCAAAGGGGAGTGTCTTTGTTAAACTTCCTACATTATTCTTTCAATTAACAAACTGAAAAGCTGGATCAGAGATCTGTCTAAATTGACTGAAAAAACATTTTACTGGATGCACACTGCTATTAGCATTTGCCAAAGTTTTGTGGTATTTACTGAAATACCTGCAGCCTCTTAGTGAACAGTTCTCATTCCTGCCTGGTTTTAATGTTTTGCATTCAGAAGTTAAGTCAATGATGTATCAGGACAGCTAGTTCTGTTATTTAAAAGCTGCTTGTCCTTACCAAGCCCTCTTCTACACTCATACCAGATGTATCAAAGATACTTGAGAAGGAGAAAGAGATTGCTTTTACTTTTATTTGTTGGAATGGATTAATTCGGGATGCCCGACTTTTCTCACAAAGTCTACTTGTGGCTTGGGATTTATTTATTTATCTATCTATTTATTTATCTATCTATTTATTTATTTGAAATGACTATTTCAAATCTAAGTGAAAGTGACTACTAGTCCAAAACACTTTGAGTACTGTGAGAGCAAAATCTTAGAAGCTGTATTGCATTTCCATGGATTGGTGTAGTGAGTGACAGGGTGTGGGTAGGTAACTGGGCACCCAGATATTGCAGAATAGAGCTAAGCATATGGAACAGGCTACTTATGTCACCTGTGTGCACATCACCAAGTCATCTGTGGTGGGGATAAATGTGCTAAGTTGCATGTTAGCGTAGTCACCACATCAGTCTATTCCTAGCATGTTTTCTTCTGGTTTGATAAGCCCAAAACTACCCTGAAGCAAAAGGATGAAAGGATGTGTAATATAAAGAGAACATCTGAGAACTTGGTCTGCTAGTGATCTTAACTAGACTGGGCTAGATTTTTGCCTGGATCAAGTATTTAAGATTGTCTGGAACTGCACTTCCAGCAACAGTTGAATGGCCTTATGCTATGCAAACTTGGACATACTGGCTTTTGTTAAACTTTTATTGAAAGCAGTGGGACACCTTTCTTGTGTATGATGAGCAAAACCTGCTCCAAGTAAAATTACCTTATTTTGAGTTGAGTTGGTGTCCTCTGAATGCTGGCAAGACTGATCTTTGAACTGAATAGATGTCCCCTGATGATTGAGTGACTGTACGTGATGATGAAGCTGCAGTTTGAGTCACTGTAGTTCTTACAGGATGCCTTTGTAAAAGTTACCTAGTGGTAATGAGTAGATTCCATTAGGTCCAGCCTCCATCCTTAACTTCTGTGTTTGTCTTGGTTTTCATTGCACATTATTTTAGAACATTTTCTGTCTTTGGACTGTACTTACATAATAAAGGAACTTATTCAGAAATTATGTGGAATTTGCTTCATCAGCTATGAAGCATTTTTGATGAATTGGTTAATAGAATTGCAGGAAGCTGGAGCATGGCATCTCTTTGTTTTCAGTGTGGAAATATTCTGGTTTTAATTGTAACATGAAAGACTTTGGAGCCAAAATATTTTTGATAGAGAAATAAAAATATTTCTGTAGAGATTTCTATCTCTAGATACTCTGATAGAGTTTCTCTAGTTACTCTGATGGAGTTGAAAGAAAAGGAAATGCTACAGAGAGCATCATCCAGGAAGTACGTAATTTACACAAGATAGTGCTTAACAAAAGGTATTGCCTTTGCCTCAGTAATGTTTTCAAATTTTCAAAGAACTCTTTAACTTGTATTAAAGGGAGAGGGAGGAAAAAATAAATAGTCAGAATTTTTAAGCTTAGAAGATTTTAAAGGGTGTAAAAAACTAAGCTAGACTTGTGAAAGGTGTTAATAAAGTCTTGTATTATGATATCTTAGATTTGGCTTAGATAGGAATTTTGCAGTTCTTGTTGTAGAAATCAGAATTAAAAACAAAAACAAAAACAAAACAAAAAAAAAACCACTTCAAAATTCAGGGATTGTTGTATGTAAATCAGCTATCTATGGCCAAAAATAAAAAGAAGCTCAAGAATAGATTAAAACTGGTAGACATTGGTGTTTCAAGGTGCATCTCAACTTTACTCACAGTCAAGTAGTACAGTAGTACTACTGTAATGGAGTTTGAGAAATTTGAAAGGTAGTTTTAGATGGCTTTTTTTACCTTGTTCTTTAAGGCAAAATAATCTCCATACTTGTGTAATTTTTGTGGAAAATGAAGGAATTCAGTTTAGAGTCAAGCTCTTAAAGCTGATTATGAACTAATAGGATAAGAAGGGTCATATTTATATTGAATATATACATATATCTGTAGCTTACATTTTAAGCTAAGGAGCACAAAAGAAATTTGAAATGTCAGATTTAATCCAAGAAAGTGAAGAAGTGTGCGGGTGTGTGAATAAAATAAACAACAACCTGATTCTTGCCGTATATCCGTATGAAAAGGTCTTAAGTCCATCAGGTATCAGAAGATACGGAAGTTGACAATGGAATAAGGCGCTACTGACAATAAAATCATCTGATTGCATGAACTCTAACATGGCATTGGGGAAAAATCTGTACCTATGGAATTAAGAGGGGGCTTGCTTTAAATGAGATTGAAGGGTACAGCTAAGAGCGGTCTATACAATTAAATCATGAACCTCAGTGATTTGAAGGGCTTCTGAGGGCCAGACATTGTAACCTGAAATTACACTTTCTGTATTGCAGTTGAGACATTGTAACCTGAAATTACACTTTCTGTATCACAGTTGTTACACAGAATGCAAGTATCTTTCCAATAGTATGAAGACAGTTTAATTTGTATACCATAAACAACTTACCAGTAGCATATTTTTTTTTTTTTTTACTGGGGATGGCTTTTTTGCTGCTTTTGTGACTAAATTCCTGTAGCATTTTCATAAATTTTGTGAGAAAACTTTCATTATTTTAGCAATTTTATTGTGGTCACGATACCAGGTAGACGCAACTTCTGTAGAAGACTTGATTTGTCTGCTCCCTCTCAAGTACTGTGTGTCCAGCTCCTTTCCACCTTAATCATCTACTTTCCAGCTGTTGCTGTTTTGTGTTGCAGTTTTTTCAGTGTGCAAGAAAACAAGACATTGTAGGAGAGATGAAGTTACATTTGTTTTAGTTGATGCAGGCATTTTCCCCTTCACGTGGACGTTTCCCAGCTCCTACTTTGCAACAGATTAAAGCTTATAAATATGTATGCTGTGTGGAGTGGTTCAGGTGTAACAGTAATGATCTTACCTTTTCCTTTGTCCCAGAGAGTTTAAAAATATACATTTTTTTTCTCAACAGGCATTTTGTTAATAGATCAACTAAACAAGACTTACTCACGTGATTAAAAATATTTAAGTGTTTGGGAAGCTTTTGAATATGTTTCAGCATTGTCAAATGCTCATAAACTGAATGCTGTTTGCATTGTCTGTTCATAGATTTTAATGCCTGTTATACTTGAAGTTGCTTATTCATTGAGAGGAAAACTTTTAGATTTCTCCAAGAGTGCTGTAGAAGAGGTAGGGACAGAAAAGATAAGCATTCAGTTATTATTATATTGTTCTTAAGCTATTTTGAAAATTTTATTTTGCAGTAGAAGTGGGTTGATGGTGGCATTACCAATGGCCTCCCTATCTTGCCTTTTGGACGTACAATTACAATTTCTCCTTTCAGTGGTCGATTAGATATCTGTCCACAAGATAAAGGACGTGTGGATCTGTATGTTAAATTTGCTAAACAAGATATAATGGTGAGTTGCTTGCTTATTTACTAACTTCAGAAGAGGAAAAGGTAGTTGAGCAGTTTATACTTATTTTAAGTGTTTATTTTTTGTGTATAATTCTGTCTTATGTAATGTTTTTTGCATTTTCTGTTTTGCATACAAAAAGTAAGCTTTTCCTTAGACACAGAAGAAAGAAAAATCTAGTAAAAATTTTGCCAGAAATGTTGAAAAGCTTGTATCTAGTACAAAATAGAGCAAAATGTGTTGTAGGCTGTTCAATCTGCATAATCTAGACTTGCTCTAATATCAGCTACTCTACTTCTCTAAAATACTGGAGGGAAACTATCTCATCTGTTCATAGTTGTCAGCTGCTCTGAGTTTAAAATACATTTATAAGTTCTATATTTGAAATTATATGCAATGACTTGACATTTCATTGCTCAGTTGAGCTCATGTTAAGATTTTAAAACCTGTGACTGCAACACTTTTCCAGAAATTTTGTTAGATGTTATAGAAATGTTTATGTAGGCCAAGGCTGAGTTTTATGACTTCTTCATTGTTAACATTTCTGTTCAGGCTTTTTCTCACAAACTTTTATTATAATATATTGCATCCTTTGTTATGATGGAAGAAAATACTGAACAGCAGTAGATCTACCACTGTTGCCCAAGAAACTTTACTAGAAAGGAAAAAACAAAAAAAAAAAACAAAAAAAACTAAAAAAACAACAACAAAAAAAACCTGGTTAGCAACAGTTGCTATACTTTTTAAGTCTCACTTAAACTGTGCTTAATATGTTTTCTTAAATTGGATGAAATTAATGATCTTTAATGTTCTAAATTGGGCCAATTTCTAAATCTTTGTAGTCTTTCACAGCATTGCAGTACTTGGTAAATGATCATGAAGAATGAGATTATTTACCTTACTGAAAATAAATGTGTAACTTTCTTTGTATTTTTTTATTATTGCTTATGTCCAATATTTAGTTCATCTACAGGAAGAAAATGAGTTGATGAGTGGAATAATTTTGAGAGTAAATTGCAGAATTGTCTTGCTTCTGTGGTCATCCAAATGCAGACTTACGTAAAATCTCAGGCAACATTTTAGGCTATTATTTTTGAAATATCTTTGGCTTTTAGAGCTGTAAAAAATGTGAAATAAATAGAGTACATGACTAAAATAGCATTATTTGCACTAGGAAGTGGTAAAAATATTTTCTTGCAGAAGTATACGTGTCAGCTACTACTGTCTGAGGCAGTTACTAGTGCGTTTCTGCACTTAAACATTTCAGAAACTCTGGGCAGTTTCACAGTCAGCTTGTCTTAGAGGTTGTGAATTTATTGGTGCATACACAGACTATTTGTATATGTTTGCCTTGATTTTCGGCAGTGTGCCTGAATATGTGATTTACTAGCGTAGACAGTTTTAAAATATGCTAACCTAAACATGTGACAGAACATATAACAATACTGTCAAGTCTGAGATAAGTTGCTTTCATAAATCAATTTCTAGCACCTCTCTCTTTTGCAGTTGTCTTTGGCCAACCTAGTAAGACTTAATCAAGCTATGTTCCCACCAAACCAGGAGAAAATGGAATCGCTGTACCGAAATGGATTTGATGACGCTGTACATTTTTTACTAAAAGAAAACTGGTTTGAATAGGCAAAACATAAAAAATAAAACCTGATGGCTTTCAAAACACAGCTATAGACATTCTAACTCAAATCTAAGAGGTTGTTATCACAATTTCTGTTTATGGAAATAAAAAGTCCCATTCGGAATTGCATCATCCTCTGCCAGGAAAATATCAGCTCCATTCAGAAGACCTGTATAAACTTGTCTGATTGAGAACTGTACTTGGCTAGTATTTGGCTTGTTTGAGAACATTCAAGTTTTGATCTGTTTTGCTTCAGAACTGGACTTTAAAATGGCAATTGTAAAAGCTTCTGTTACCGTAATTATACAAATTTGGAAGACTTTTCCAATGTTATTTGAGAGACTAATCAGTGTTGTATCTGTATTCCTCGCTTAATATAGCAGTTGTGCATGCTCATCGAGTGCAGTATTGCTAATCCAGTTTAGTACTTAAAGCATTTTGAAGGATCTGAACTCTTAGCTCTAGCCACAAGAAATAAAACATTTGCACTTTTGATAACATTTATTTTTTTGAACGTTAAAGTTTTTGTGCTTCTCAGTGAATGCACTTTCTCAATTAGAAATACTATTTCAAACTTTTGTAACAGAATTGTGATGTTTTGTGTTCACTAAAAATATCTTGTACAGTGGAGTAGTTATTTTTACTGTGTTTTCTTCTGCTGCTAAAATTGAATGAACTTATTTTCTTGAAACTTCTGTGAAGAACTTATTTGTAAGTTTCTCAGAATGCTTTATTCATAAAATAAATGTTTTATTACAACCTGATAGAGTGCCTGGATATAAGTTCTTTTACCATTCACCTTGCAACGATTTCCTTAAATGCAAGTTCAAAAATTTTGGTTTTAATGCCTAAATTCTAAAATCAGCAACTACTTAAAAGCAAAGCATTTGTTTCTTAAGTGTACTTTTTAAGATGAATTCTTAATGTTTACAAAAATTTGAGATTGAATTATGTGTAGCACTCCTCCAAAATAATTGAAAATCTAGGGAAGTGAGTATTACAGTTAAATTATACATATTTTGTAGCTGTTTGAAGGCCTCTTAGTGTAAACAACATATTCATATGTAGATGATATCAGGGTACGATTCATGTGGTAGGATTGAATTCTGTTGCTGTTTTTGCTAGAAAAAATAATAATGCTTTGCATCAACATTTTTAGATGCATGAGGTTCTGTATTACAGTGAAAATAGAATATGATTTCCAGATACGTAGGACTCCACATATGTAGGACAGCATTTCTACAGGTAGAGCTGAAATGCTTTGATGCTACAAAGATACTTGTGCCTTGCTTGCCTTCATTCTTACTTACACAGAGGAGAGCTTTTAACATAGATAGAAATAGTGAATAATGCTATTAAAAGATTGTTGCAAACTGATTTGCTAAAGCCTAAGTTTGTAAATCAATTTCAATACTTATTTTGGTACTATGGCAGAATCTTCTTTTCCATGTAGCACTCTGAGGGCTTGGAGTTATTCATGAGCTTTAAGAAATAGCAGAACTAGTGCTACAGCTTCCTGAGCAGTCATGGAACTGCGTAAATTTAGCAAATCTGTACAATTTTACCTGCATGCCATTCTGTAAGATCTGTCTGTTAATATTATTAAATGTAAAGCTTGTTTCTTGATAATGTGTGTTGTTTTTGAGCATTGTGTTTGATATGCTCTTTAGTTTATTAAAACCTGGATTCTTTCTGTATGTATTAATACAGGAATATAAGCCATATCCTATACACTGAGCTTTAAGTGCCCCAGGCAGTGTTCAGTTCTTTAGAAACTGACCTTCAGATGTTTATGATAACATAATGCTCTTCAGCAGGAATAAAATCATAGCAATGCAAAGGAAAGATCTAGAAGTGCTTATTATTATAGTACAAATATTTATTTATTAATTTATCTTGGGATGTAAAAGTTCAATGAGAAAAGCAAGAGTCAGAGACTTTTCAGGTAGTGGCATTTTATAAAAGATAGCAAAAAAGAAGAGTGATGCAATCTTGTTGTCTTAAGGCTGCTAATTTGAACATAGTGTAGCATAGTAGAGCACATTCAGAGATGTTTCATTCTCAGCCAACAATGTTTGAATCTTTGAAATAAAATGTTTATTGATCAGTTAACAGAAGCATTTGCTGTTTTAAATCAGAATAGTTGTAATCTCTTTGTTTCATAGAGGAAACCATCTACTGTGCATTCAGGCTTTGTGATGTCACCCATTTTATTTCCTCCTTACTCAAACTGTACCACCTTGAAAACTTCAGGTGGTGTGTTAAGAGAATCTTCTTTTCCAAATAACATAGTACTTTTACAATAGTGACATACCTTATAAAAGCCAAATTAATTTTCTTCTATATTTTCTCCAACATTGTGTGAATTGATCATAATTGTCTTCTATTTATTTTCATGAAACTCAAATCTTTTAATATCTGTAACAAAGTAATAATTTCTGTTGCAAAAATAATCAGAATTACACAAATGTAGTAAATATTGCTTCCATTTTTGTGGAATGTGCACAGTTTGCCACTACACAAAGGAGAGGTAACCTGGATTTGTTTGCAAAAGCTACTTCTATGTTAGAAAGACTAAGGTACCTTCAGATCCATTGGTTTAACAGCAAACAGTCTGATCCCTTTCAAATAATTTCTTACCTATCTCTTCATCTGCAGTAGTGCCATGTTTTCCCACTTCCCTGCCCTAGCTCTCTTAGTTGTGCATAAATATTGCTGATTGTGTTCCTAACCTAATCTTTTTTTTTTTTTTTTTTTTTTTTTTTTTTATCTCTCCTGTGTATGGTCTTACTGGACAATGACTTGTATGCATCTTTATTCATTAAATATGTTCTGTTTCAAAGGGAAACATCTAATAAAATGAGAACCTCTTAAGCTTTGTTTTCTGTTATCAGCGGTTATGTTTTCAAGAAGTGAATATTAGCTTTTCTATGTGAAGTCAATTTACTTTAGTTTGTTTGTGTGTGTGTGGCTTTTGCTTTGTTTTAAACCACATTGCAAGTTCTGCAGTTTGGCATTTTCTGGCTAATTTTGCAGACTAATAGCTAGATTTTTCTGTTAGTGCATCATAAATCTGTTGTAGTAAGAAAGGGTTCTGACCACTTTATTAACATTTTTCACAAAGACTTAAGGTAGTAATAAGTTTTCTTTCTCCTCTTTAAAATAATGCTTTAAAGAAACGTAAATCCTAAGTTCTTAAACAGATTCTGTTCATTTTCTGTTAGAGGTGTTTCAACTGAAGTCCTTGTATGGCTGAAAGCATAATTTGTGCTTGCTAGAATTTCACCTTCTGTTAGACTTACTGTGTAAGTAGGCTGTTTAACTTTTTAAGTTTTTAGTGTCTTAAGCAGTTGAAGGAAATCAAACTTGCCAAAACTCGTATCTATTTTCTGCCTTCATGCTGCTGATACGTGGTTGCTGTCAAGATACAGACTTACTACAGAGAGTCCACTGCAGACACACAAAGATTATTAAAGGACTGGGACATCCTTCTTATGTGGTGAGGCAGAGATTTATGGATTTGTTTAGCTCAGCAAGAAAAATGCTTATGAGGATCTTAGATGAGTATAAATAGGTGATGGGAAGGAATGATAAAGATGAATCCAAGCTCTGCTCAGTGTTGGTCAGTGTCGTGACATGGCAGTGGGCACAAGCTGAAATACGGCAGGTTCTTTCTGACCATCAGAAAGCACGTCTGTGCTGTGTGGATGCTGGAACACTGACAGAGGCTAGGGTTCCCCAGAGAGATTGTGGAGTCTCCTATGGAGATCTTCAGAAGTTGCTTGGGTATGGACCTGGACAACCTGCTCTTAGGAGGCTCTGATTGAGCAGAGGTTGGATTAAATGAGCTATTGAGATTTCCTCTAAGCAATAGTTCTCTGATTTACAGAGAAATTTACAGAAATTACAGATTTACTGTACGATCAGAATTGCATATAAATGTTAACATTACTTACACTACTATATGTGTGTTAAAAAAGTATAAATTAGAAAATATAATTTTTCGTATACCTGCTATTAAAAATTTCTTGTGTTCTGAACTGGATTCAGCCCTGCTGACAAAAAATTTGCTGACTGCTACATAGAAAATAATGATTTTGGTTTTTTACTGTCCTTATGCTGTTGGTGTTAGATAGTAGCACATATGCCCTATTATTTGTTTTCAGACAAAACTTTGGAATGTTTAACCTTTCTGACTTGAACATTAATTCCAACTTATTGGGAAACATTACATAGAAAATAGCTCTGGTGTTTCTAAGAAGCATGTGAAAAAGTGTAAAAACAGTGTTGACAATTTTGAAGGACCATTGATCTGAAATGGAAGCAGTGCTGTAAAGTGGAAAGAAAACAGCCCTATTCTAGTATACCTGTTATCTGAATGAGATGTCTTGAAAGGCATTTGCCCTGCTAGATGTCTGCTAGATTAAGAATGAACTAAAATGCAAGATATGGAAAGTTCCATTGAATGCATTAACGTTTTTGTGCTTCTTGAAGGTAACTCTGGTTCACTGACTTCTGCCTTCATATGACTGCATCTTCCTTTAAGGTGGATTTCACACCTCATAAAGGATCTTCTCTAAAGCTACATGTTAAGATATATAAAAGATCCCTTAATATTTAAGGTAATTAAAAACATAAAAATAAAATTTAAAAAAACTTTAAATAGAAGACGTTGGTCATGTTTTATAATCAACAATTTTTTTTTTTTTTTAAAGATTTTTAAAATAGGAAGTCTGAGGTGCATCTGAGAAGCTAGTTTCTCTGGAAATTTACATATTTTCATCCCAAATTAGAGTTTAAATTTCCGAATCTGGAAACCTGAATATCTATGACTGAAGATGCACTCAGAACCCAGTTTGAGTAGAGGAGAGTGAGGGAGACCATTATTTAGTTCCTGCTATCAAATTTAAGAAAATTGTTTTATTTTTTCATGACTTCATGACTGCTCTCAACCTCTCCAAATGCACAAGCATTGTTTGTCTGTCCTGGAAGTAATACTTAACTGTCTCTAAGTGAATCAGAAGTACTTTCAAGAAAACGAGTCAAATATCAGTTTTTAAAACTGTTTTAATTAGTATTTTTACTTGCAGAACAGGCAAATATTTTAGAAGAATGCAGTACTGATAATGCTTTACTGATAAAGCTCTACTGATAAAGCTGAACTTCACTAGCAGTGTGCATCCACATCATAACGTACAGTCTTGAATATTAACTATGACTTATTGCCCCCTTGAGTAAAAAAGAGCTTACTCTTTGTTTTATATTCATAGTGTATAAGGCTGTAATCTCTGGCATTTTAGCCTATGAACATTTTCCTTTCATAATTATATTTTCAGTGTTAAAAAAACCAAATCTTGATACACAGTACTCAGCTTGTAATATTTAATCATTTGTGGAAAAAAGAAAAATTCAATAACTCAAATAGAGTTTGTTAAAGTGTTAACTTCTCTCAAGTCACATGTACATAACTATTCCAAGGCACAACTTTCTCTGAGCACTTAATTATTATGCAAATTATGGTAAGCTCTTTCTATGAAGTTTAATTCTATTGTTGCTACATGGACTCTAAAAGCATCCTAAGTACTTTAAAACAACTTTTAAAGATATTTTTAATCCAAATAGCTTACACTGTGTTAGATATGCCAGGAGAACAACAAAGTCAAGCTCTTCATCAGTAATTATTATGTTTTCTTCAGAAATTGTAACTATTAAAAACATATTCAGTATTTTCATTCTTTTGAGAGAGGCATGTACAAATGTGCACTATATCAGTAGCATAGCTGGCTACACAGCCAAAAGTAGAAGTAGTTGCAGGGATGTATAAATATGAGGGCAGGATAAGGAGCTGGAAGTAAGGTCAGGCAGTACATCAGGAGAAACTCCTCTATGACAAAATCTTTCTTTTAAATTTATCTCAGCAACAGACAGGTACTGTAGTACAGAATTTGCTGTTGCTTTGATGAAGCAAAGAAGCTGTCTTAACTCAGATAAAAACAAAATTCTACATGTCCTTGAGTTTGAAATGGAAAAAGAAATATATCAGCATACATGATCAGCTTTCTTGCATTGAAATATTAATATATTAATAGCTCTATCACTTTTTTTGTGGTAGCTGTGCACTCTAAATATCATTGCATTTGTAGCTGCATAGAGAATTGATTTCGTTAGTTTTGAAGTAAATACATGAATAGATGAAAACATCTTGAACAAAGAAGATTCCAAGTTCACAAAATGACTTGTGTGTATGTTTCTTCTGTATCCTGAAGTAGTACACATCATTCACGTTCTCATAGCATTACAGTTACAACTGTGAGCTTGTTTTTCATATCACTTTCCTTTCAATGTGACTGAAAGTTCTTATTAGTGACATATCTTCATATTCTTGGTTAGACCCATTATTAACGGGTTTGGGTGGCTTCTCATAAATCCATTCACTTGGCAGGGTAGTGCTGCTATCTGTATTTCTTGAATCATTCTTCCACTTTTTACAGCAGTGATGAATCTGTTGCAATATTCCAAAAAATATATTGTTAAGCTATTAATTTTTTTTTTTTTCCACTAGATACCTCATTTTTCAGAGAATACATTCCTTACTTCACTATTTATTCTGAATTGTTCGTAAGGTTGCATATCACAGTCTCAATAAAACACTGAAGAACTGATTTTTACAGGTAGTGGCATAAGGGTAATTCTCACTGTATTCAAGAAGTAGAATGTGAGTCTGACTTTATATCAGTGTTTTCATTTAATATTTCTTCAATGCATGGTACTATCTTTTAAGGTGCGTAAAAGCTTTTATTTTATTTAAACAAACAACTTGGTTAGGGTGAAAGAGGTTTGTGTTTTTTTTTTTTTTTAAATTCATCCTGTATTCTTATGTAGCTTGAGTGATCATTCTGGAGAGTTGATGGGATAGATATCTTCTTTTGGGGAGAATCCATAACTGACAGCTCTAATGGCTTCCACATAAAATATGTACAATTTTCATGCATGTTACATGGGAATAGCACATTGTTATGCCCTAGTCTTGATTTTGAAGCGCAGAAAGAAAATCTGACAAAAGTAAGAAGAAATACAAGAGAAATTTAAGCTAAGAAAAGACAAGTGTGACTTCTTCCTGAGATAGCAGCTCCTTCCAGAAAGTACCTGAAGTGCTCAGCCAACCCTGACACACCAAATTTAAGTAGTGGCCTAGAAGTGTCAAAAAGCCAAGGGACTTTTGAGTGATCTAGTACCTCTTTCACTATTTCACACTCTGATTTTGACACTATACACATTTTCATGGTATGGCACATTTGTCATGTAGTGAAGAAATGACCTGTAAGAAATTATAGACTCCCTGACTTCAAAAATGTCAGTGTCTTTCTCTTTAGCTGCTGTGCTGCCTTGACCCTGGCCAGCAGCCAAACACTCATGAAGCTGCTCACTCACCTCCCCCTCCCCAGCAGGATGGGAGAGGACAAGAAGAACAAAAATGAGAAATCTCCCGGGTCAATGCAAGGGCAGTTTGATAGGTGAAGGAATGAGGAAGAAAATAAACAACCAGAAAGTCCTAAATGAAGCAAGGGAAATCACTCACCACCTCCCTCCAGCTGACCAATGCAAAGCCAGTCAGAGAGCAACGGTCATCTTTTTAGCCAACAAAAACCCTTTGTTCTTCCTCTACCCCTGATTCTCTTGATGAACACAATGTTATGTGGCGTAATATCCCCTTTGGTCAGCTGTGGCCAGTCATCCTGGTTGACTCCGAGCCACTTGATCATCCTCAGCCACCAATTTGAGGAAGCAGACTGAGAAATGGAAAATAACTTGATGATGCCATGCAAATGCTGTTCAGTATATTGGTATGCTATCAATACCTTTAACCACAAATCCAAAACATAGCACTGTATAAACTCAATTCTTCATTGAGTTTTTTCAGTGAAAGTCATCCCTGCCAGACCTGGTATATTTTGCTGCTACTGATTGTACTCACAGTGACTCATTTTAGGAAAGATTTATTTGGCTGTTTTTGCATATTCAGATGCAGAAGTGCATTTTGACAGACTTTACTGCTATTGTATCTTAGCAAATTTTGTTTGTTTACTGCCTGAATTGTGTGAACATTTCTGATTTTGATGTGGCTTTGAAGTAACAACACTTAACAACTTGTTTCTAAGGAAAACAAAACCTGTACTTTACTTGACCCAGAAGGGCAATCAGATACCATAAGTGTCTGTAGGTCTTGTAACTTGTCAATGGTGCTGAATCTTTTAATAACGAAATCAGCAGAGAGGGAGCTGTTGCTATAACTCTAGTTTCAGTAACACTTAAATGGCCCTTTTAACTGTACAAGCTGAGAACCTGTTAAATTAGTTACCTATTGCCTCTTGGTCCAATTTAGCCTTCAGCTCTTAACTTCTGAGGAACTGTAAAATATTGGTTTTTGATGGGAGAGGTTACTGGTGATGAACAAGGAACTTTTTAGGTCTCTTAAGTTACTATCTTATACGTTTGCAATTAAGGACCTTGTAATTATAAGTAGAGCCCATTTTAGTACTGTCCATGCCTTCAGAGACTGAGATTCTAATTTGCATCATGTTATGGCACAGCTCAGCTTCATTTCCTTCCAAATGGTTTCCTTCACATAAAGTATATTCCTAAATATGACCAAAATGGAACTATTATTTGAAAGCTTTCTTTTTAGTTTTTGGATCCATAAGAAGAGGTTGATTAACATGATATGAGATAGGGAAGAGATCCACAACTAGGAAAGAGAAAAGATTTCTGAAGTATCGTGGGAAGTATAAGAAATCATTCTGGGCTTAGACAATTTTGTATCAAAAAACATTTTCTTCTCTTGGAAAGTATTTTCTAGTTGTCAAAGCTGGCTAAGGAAATGTCAGGTGGGGACCCATCCCAACTGGTGGGTGGGAGAAGGCATAAAGCCCTGGCGTAACTGTTTGGTTGGCTGAAACACGTGTAAAATAAGCAGACATTAATGTATGCCTGGTGGAGCACATGAAATTAGGAGCTGGAGCCCAAAAGTATGGAGGAAGCAGGATGTGTTTTGAACTGCAAATCATTTAAGAAATTATTTTTTTCTAAATTATCTTTCCAGGTGAAAATAAAAACTTGGTAACATTCAGCAACATCAAGAATAGCTTCTTCAGCAAGCTTTGAAAATGGTAGCTTTTACTTTTCTAAGTATCTCCACTGCCAGAGCTTTCTTTTATGGTCATATCCTCAAATATCCAAATACAGGAGATTCTACCTCTAAATCTTTGGTTAACAGAATAGAGACAGACTTTCTACTTTGCCATAGCTGCATGACCATCTTTCTTTCATTTACTTATAGTATCTTTCCATTAAAAGATGCCACCCATCTTTAGGTCTGTAGTATTTATTTCTGAAGTTGTTACTTACACCAAAAGCTATGATAACTGTGGTGACAAAGAGAGTGTATCCGAGAAGAAGGAACCAACACCACCAGGTGGGTTCTGATCTTACACAGTTTTTGCACGTGAAATCTGAAATGAAGAGGAAGAAAATTAAGTATTTGAAAAATTAAGAAATAGTTGCTTTTCTGATATGATTTAATCTGAAGGATTAGTGAAGACTGACTAGTCAGCACAGTTGTCTTTATCACATTTCTCTTTTTTTCTGGACTGAAAGGTTATACTTCTCATGAAGGAACTATTGTCTTCTTTCTGCTTCAGTGATGAATTTTTTAAACTTCTCTGAGCTAATTATAAAATGAATAGTAAACAAATTTCACAGGTGATAGATCCAAAAACATCTTTATTATATTGCACATACTTAAGTTATGATGAAAAATATGTTTTGGGTTTTTTTAATAAATAAATTAAACATATGGTGTGGTATATAAAATCAGAAGGAATCATTGACAGCTGTTTTTCTTTAGGGATTCAGAAGAACTGCATTGGGAAATTATTATATATAAAGTGAAATCTAGTAACAGAGAGATGCTTTGTAGCCTTTAGCATGCACTAATCAGATATGCCTGCAAGTCTACAAGCAAAAAACTTGCCTCCTCCAGAATTATTTACCTCAGTCACTGAGGTAATTGTCCCCTTCAGGATTACAAAAATTGTTTATATAAATTGAGGCTAGGAGAAGAGTTATAAAGTGCTGAAAATAATTTTACAATTATGTGGAGAGAATCTCATGCTCCTGCATATCCCTACTCTCACACACACTTCATAAAATCACCCACATTTCTTAATTTACTATTAATTTTTCAGAACCTGGAGGTTAAAGAACAGATTGCATACTTCAAAACAATAATGCTGGCACACAAGGACTGAGGAAAATGATGAAAAATGAGTGTCACGGATTTTTTATTTTTGTATGGAGCAAAGTCTCAGTAAATGTTTGTGGATAATACTGAGAAAAAATATTTCGTATTCTAAATATATATGGTATATACTAATATAGAAGATTAACCCAAATACTATAATACACAAAATGTTTTATGTATATAATATGTATTAATTATTGAATCAATGTTTTATTGCCCACAGTCAGATTCTCAGATCATGACTGTAGATTGTTTTCCTCATCCTTCTTCTCACAGCACTGAGTGGTAGAATAGAAATCAGTAAAACTGATGGAATATTTAACTCACTTTGCATCCATTAATACAATTGCTTTGACTATCAGATACCTCTTACCGTGCACTGTCAGCTTGGTTCCGTTTCCACATTTGCCATGGGTTTTCTGGGTTAGTATCACGTCACAGAAATATGAGTTGCTGTCATTCTTGTCAACATTGCTCAGTTTTAAGATAGAGAATCCCCTGAATATGTCCTTGGTAATGTGTACATGTGGCCTTCCTGCTCCTGAACTTGACCGAAGACTCTGCTGGTTGTCACAGCTGGGGCCCTTCCTCCAGTACACAACTGGCTCCTCATTCTCCTCCTTGGGGTATTCAAAGACACATAGCATCCACACAGTGGAGTTAAGGAGCACACTGGCATCTTCGGGGTATTGCAAAACCAAGAGCTCTGGCCCACTGCTAGCTGTAATTAATAATTAATTAATTATCACATTTATTAAGGTTAATGTTCTAGTAATATTCTTCTTAGTCCAATACATTGTTATTTAAATATTTGATTGCAACTTGTTTTGTGCAGGAATAATTGCAAACAAGGAAATGAAATTATGACTAAATGAAGTACAAATCAAAAATGAAATGAATACAGCAGTAAAAAGTTTTGCAGTAATATATTGTATTCTTGTATTAAAATAAATAGAAGAATATTCAAGTTCACCCACATGCACCACTTCTCATATTTTCTGTACAATGCCAAAAGTTTTGTTTCTATGCCATGTCAATACAAGTCTTGAATTTCCATAATTTTTCAGCTTCATTAATTCTTAACATCATATCTAGGTCCTTTGCTGGTTTTTAATTTTATTTTTTTAAATTCTTTATAAAATTTTATGTGAGTACTGTGTGCAAATAAAATAACCATATAGAACTAAAGCAGAAGGATGAGGAAGATTCTGGAAGATCTTCTTTATGGAAGATTCTATCCATAGAATAATGGATATTTTGAGAATGATTTCTTGTGTATATCTGTTGTGCAGACAACAATGAGGTAAAGGACTGGAAGTATGCCTGAACACATCTATTACTGTGCCATGAGCAGGTAAAATAAAAAAAATAAAAAAAATAAAAAAAAAAAAAAAAAGAACAATCCAACAACAACAAAAAAACACTTATTAGTTAAAGTTAGATTGCAATGAACAGGTATTAAATGGAAAGAATTCTGAAGGTTAAGCTGATAATACATTTAATTACTCCCTCTGCCAGAGGGTTGGAAGATATCTAGTTCCATCCACGTGCTGTGGGCAGGACTGCCACCCTCCAGATCAGGCTGCCCAGGACCCCATCCAGCCTGACTTTGCATGCTTCCAGGTATAGGACATGCACAGTTTCTCTAAGCATCCAGTGCTTGTTCATCACCCTTATCACAAAATGTTTCTTCAATTAGGACTACCTTCTTTCAGAGTAAAAGTGTTTCCCCTTGACCTGTCACAAGAGGCCCCTGGTAAAAAATCTTCATCTTTGTTGTAAGCATTCTTTATGTCTTGAAAGGCCACAATGAGGTTTCCCTGGAAACTTCTCCAGACTAAACAAGCCCATCTCCCTCAGCCTTTCTGCAAGAGAAAGGTGCTCCAGCCGTCTGATAATCCTCTGCATCCACAAGGATGAACACTGGGAAATTTTTGTGAATAACAGAATACCCTTATCAGATACCCACTTGATACCCATATCCGATCAGCTAGCAGTGACACCTCACAATTTCTAGCAACTTACATGACTAAACCTTTTCTCCATTTGAGTCTCATCCTAAATTATTCAAAATTTTAACTAGTAGATAACAAGTCTGCTTCAAAGTCAGTTATTTAAACTTTAAATAATCACGTTGAAACTCCAACACTTAACCCTATTCTCCTTTTGTAGCCAGTTAACAGAAATAAGTTAAAGAAAAGCTTGATTTTAATGCCATAATAAAGATTTAAACAGATAAAAAAAAAATTATTTTCTCATCTAATGTAAAAACAGCATCTAATGTAAAAATATTTCTCATGTTCAGAGAAATATGTTAAAATTCTGTGAACTGAGTCATTTTTATTCTGAGAAGGTGAAATCAGATTTCCATTATAAATTATGTTATATTTATGGAACTGCTTTGAAATGAAGCAATTTATCATATGCAAATATATATATATGAATTTTTATACTGAGTATAAAAAATTGGAAAGTAATTACAAAACACAACAAATGTTTTTAAATCAGAAAAAAATAATGTTTTAAAATAGTTGAATACCTTTGTTTTATATGTTATATTTACTAGAATTTTTATCATTATAAGACATGTAAGAAATGTATGTTCAAAAAGAACATGTGTTGTACTTTAAAGGGATTTGGTTTTCTGAGATCTGACATGAAACCTGATCTGACATTAATTACATTTTAAAATGTAATTAACCCATAGGAGTACAGGACCTTTCTGAGTACTTTCTTCATTTAAGTATAAAGCAAATATCTTAAAAAATTTCCTGCATCACACTCATAGCAACATTCCAAAACCCAGTGAAAACCATTCTCAGCTTAATCATTAATATCTCATGCATTTTCATCATATCATATAAAAAATTGATACAAATTTTATTTTTGGCACTTTCATCCCTGATTAAATATAAGTATTACCTTTCTTGATTACTTTAGTTTTGAAGAATTCTGGAATAAAAGCTTTTGGTAGGGCTTTTTTTTTTAATTTTTTTTTTTCCTTTTTTCTTTTTAGAAAGTTAACAAAACAACAGCAAAAATCTACTTACCTGTAGTGTTAACAAGATAAGATATCATAAGCAATATGCCAATCCTCATCTCTTTTTTTGGGATTGCTAATTGACTGGTTTTAAAATCTCAGATGAGACTCCAAATAGCACAGCTGCAAACACCTAGCTGAAAATTAAAGTTCTCCAAAAAACATGTTTTTAACCTTGTTTCTAGGGGGAGGTTCTTGTGGTTTTACTCACTTATTTCCCTTTCTGCCATTGCACATCCTGGACATTGCAACAGATCAACTTCTAATATTGTAGTTTCAAACTTAACTCTAGTGTGACTGTTTTTCCATTCTGAGATTTTTCTTCAGACAGCTCAGAGGAGGAGAATCGGTTATATGTGGTGAGTTTGGTCAAAGCTGCCCACCTTAACAAAACATATATATATATTGTTAATGGCAATGACGATGTAATACAGCAAAGTTTTCAATAGACACCTCCCTGTGATGCTCTTAAAGCCCTGTTTATGCCACTAGCACCAGATACATGAATGTGACGTTGCTCTATCTTTGTAGCTAGAAAAATAACATACTGCAAAAATATTTCATAATAAATATTATTTCTCTTTGCTGAAGTGATACTGAATGTCTACTAATCACCATGCAGTCCAGCATACATGAACATTGGCTGCCAAAACCCTCAAAGTGTAAAAGGTGGCGATGTGGTTTCTGTCCTAACATATACCATTGCAATTCACTTAAGACCACGAGATCAGCTAACTTCCTTGCAGCTCACATTAAATTTTATCCCACACCATTACCCCTGGGTTTTATTAAATCTTGGTTTCATTCCTCTCTCCTGCCTACTGATCTGAATGCCTGGATTTGATTAAGGATAACTTCCATGGAAATATCCAGTTTTGACTTGACAGCTTCTAGAAGAGCATCTGCAAATTCAGTGGTTAATTGCTGCAATGACTAATCATTCTCACTCACTATGAAAGACTATGTCTTCATTTCTATTCTGAACTTCGCATTCAGCATAAAGCTACCTCCTTTTTTTTTTTCAATTTTCTTTTTTTTTTTTTTCTCCAAGATGATACTTAAGATTTCTTAAAACCATTTTATGAGGCATTAAAATCAAGTTCCTTCCCTTCTGCTCTTCTGACTTATTTACAGATATAGGACTACTCCTCCACAGTGCTGATACTTAATGATAAGCATATGCTTAAGTCTATTGCTATTTGGTAAAGATGTTCAAAAAGAGTGGGTAGGAGCGATGTGTATGTGGCATAAGCACTTTCATGAAGACAAATGAGAAGACTTTTGTACTTACTGCACAGTATTTATGTGAGTGAAACATCAAGAAAACATGGTGAAAGATTTGAAATAATGAAGAACTTAAATAAGATCAAATCTAAAAATTTTACTTTATGACATACAATAGGAACTATTAAAATGTCTTTGTAAAAAAAAAAAAAAAAAAAAAAAGTGAATTTACTCTGTAGCACTGCGAAGAGATGAATCTTTAAATATTTTATATATTTCCTGAATAGTAAGTAGCTGTCTGGGAAGAATTTTAAGCTTTGAAACTTAAAACAAGTTAATAAATGGACAATGACCTTCTAACCTCCTCCTCTAGAAAGTAGTGTACAACTTTAATATAAACTGGAAGACTGAAGTGTAGACCTTCTCCAAGACCACCTCATGGAGATAAAAATAAGAATCAGCTCTATTAAAATATCGGAGATATAACAACAAGTAAGAACAATCACATTTAGACTTCTGTCAGTCCTGTGTTTTTTCTTATTGCCAGTTTGAGCTATAATGTCAGGGAACATATAAATTTATCTAAAAATATCTTTTTAATTATCTGCAGAAATGATGATTAGTTTCAGGACTATAATAGAGACAATACATTTTTAAAAGGCCTAGATTCCAGCTGATTGATTATTGTCCTACAGGACTAGAAAAATATGAATGGATTTATCTAGTAGGCTGTAGCTTCTCTGTCAGCAGTGTCATTTTCACTATGTTAAATGGGAGAATTAAGAGTGTAACTGCATGTCTGTGTCACTGCTCTATGGTTGTAGTATGGAGGAGTGGCATATTGTAAATGGGAAACAAATACGCAATCTGTTTTAAAAATTTATAGTGGCATCACAAAGAGATGAGAAAATAAATTTTGTGCCAATTTCTACTGAAGCAATGAAAACAGATAACAACATGTGGGCAGAAGTAAACAATTTCAAAGAGTAATGGCTTTTCACCAATCCCTATTTGGAAGTATTTATCTTTGAAAAGCAATCAAGCATTTTATGAATGTCTATAAAAATGCAGATGAATATAGCTGTTTGGAAAGAAAAACTTATGCCTTGTAATTCAACTATTACTCCAAGGTAGCTGCTGTACAATATACAGCTGCTTAAAGCAAGCATCTCCTTAGCATGCCTTAAACAAATAGGGTAACTTGCATCTAGTTTACAGTTTATCATTTAGTCTTATTCAGCATAAATTTCATCCAGAAACATTATAGAAAACTTCCTAATGGTAAGCGTAGCAGAGCAGATCCTCTGAGGAGATGGCGGACCTCCAGATAAAATGGGACAAACCTGTATCCAGAACAACATGAGAATAGTGCATATGACTTCAGGATTTCTCTGTGTTTTCTGATCAGTTGTACAAGATGGGAGAGAATAAGCACAGACAAACAGGCAGAGGCTACTTTAAGTCCAATGACTCCTGAAAGCCTGAGAGAAAATCTGCCGTTTGCCCAAATAGTGGAAGATACGTAAACTCCTGCTGGGTTTCTGCGTAGAAAAGCATTGTTTAGCCTATTAGAAAGTTAGAGACAATGCAGGATCCCTTCTAGTAGTTACCAGAATAAAACAGGAGCAAAAATGAAATTCACACTAAAAGCAAATACTTGAATGGCACCCCACAGTCACAATTAGGAGAGAAATGAGATGGATGAATTACAAGAGAAACATGGAAAGAGTATTTAGGCTCATTTGACCAAAACTACTAGCTTAAGTTAATTATTTAACTGTTCCTAATCCTTATAGCCAAAAAATAAAATGCAACTATATTTTCCTTTCAGAATATTTTCACATATCTCTTTATTAACCACTATGTGTTGAAAAAGTTATTAATCTTTTTGGTTGGACTTTGGCAACAAAATTTTCTGCACAGTTCCTCTTAATAAGAATGTATGGATGAAATTGACAACAGTGTATATCAGTAGTGGATCTGCAGCTTGCAAGTTGAATTTAGAGCCAGTTGTGTATGAAGTCAGCTAATCTCAGACTATAATATAATAAGTTTCTAATAAATAAAAAGCTAAAGACTTTTATAACACAGGTCATCAGGGGAAGATAGCTATATTAAACTTTTGAATTAATCTGAATAGTTGGAGATCAGGAATTTGAGACTTTCCGTGTATAGGAATGTGGAACCTGCTACTACTTCCCTGTTCTCCTGGGTGTGTCCATATACAGAGATGGTTTTAACTTTGCAATGAAATGTTCTTTCAAATTCCGGAGGGTTCTATATTCTTAATGTATGAGTGGAAAAATCTTGAGACTGTTTGACCTGCCAGTATAAGCAAAGGAGGCGTGGCTAGATTATCCATTCAAGTCTATAGGATATTTCTTTTGATCTGCTGAGGGGAGTCTACAGTATGTATGACTTATTCTTCCTGGGATTTCTTTCCTTGAATTTTGCATGGAGAGATCCAAATATGAGTAAAATGCTTAACAAACAACTCAAGCAGGATAATAACATTAAATTCTGGCAGGCTTCATGCAGCCTTACCTAATATATCAAAATACTTTTGCCAAAGTCAATACAGAAGCTCAGTGTTCTGGTCCTGGATATACCCAAATGCAAAAATTCCATAGTTTCTCTAATCACGTATGTGCTTTTGAGATTTAGCTATAACTTCATACCAGTCCTTCACACATGTTCAGAGTCTTAATGCACATGACCAAGTCTCAACCAATTTTAAAAAAATGCTATAATAAAAATATTTTTTTCCTGATACTGTACAGAGCTTGCATAAGAAATGGAAAGCTGCAAATCTTCCTCATCATAGCAAGGTAGAATTCTGCATTTCAGAAAGCAACACAGTGTGCAGTATAAATCAAGCTATTATAGAGTTAAAACATCTCTTGGCTCTTCGTGTTCACCTCTCTCTCCACATTTCCTTTTCTCTCTTCTCCACTGAACGCTGAACAATTTTATCCTGTATAAAAATTTAAACTTTAAAATCACAGATATCTAAAGGCAGCTACTGCAAAGAAAAAACCTTTGTGATTTTCCTATTCTCACTGAGAAATCAGTTCAGTGATGAAGCCACAGATTTTTACACAGATCTTGGTTTATAAGCTGTTAACTTCACAAACCTGTGGGGGAGGATGTAAGTCTGATATATAATTGTACCTTGAAGAACAACTAGTTGCTCTGGTACTTATGTCAGTGATGCTGGACTAGTGTTGAACAAGACAATCACTTCAACTTGGAGAGCATGATGCTGATGCCTTTTAAATCCCATTTACTTTCATTACTGTAATACATATTTCACTGACACATCAAGCAATGAACTTCTATCTCTACAGAAACTATATTTCACACATAGGAATAGAAAACTCGAGGAAAGGAAGGGTAAGGAAATATTAAACAGAGAATAAACAGAGAAGAAAGAAGAAAACTTCCTAAAGATAAGTGTAAAACCACTGACTCACATATATTCAATGTCTTTAGATAAGTGGTACAGAGCCTACTGCTCCCAGACAGGATGCTTCTTGTGAGCATGTTTGGTTGTTGTTTTTTTGTTTTGTTTTGTTTTTGACACTTGCACAAATGAAACTATCTGATGAGGCTTGTTTACTGTAAGAGACTGAAGGCTTCAATTCCTTACAACAGTACTGTAATCAGTAACAAAAAATTGTGAAATTAATAACATTTGGATACTTTATTTTGACTTATCTGTAAACTAGTAAGCTGTATTGTAGTTAATTATACACTATTTTATGAAGATCCAAAAATGTAATTTCAACAGTTGAATAAATATCCACTTTTTTTTTTTCTTTTCCTCCCCCTTGGGGCTTCTTGACTCCTTGTAATTCACATAATTGTTTTCTTTTTTTTTTTTTTTTTTTTGGTCTGCTTGTTTCCCTCTTTCCAGATATCATGAGGAAATGAAGAAGAAAACTGACTAGTTTT